AAAATCTTGCTGGCCGTGTCCAGGGTACATTACAGCTATTTTGGGATGTGATCTGGTGTTTTTAGTAAGAATAGGGATGGGGGGACATTTTGCTGGTGGGAGTATTCATGTATTTGCTCTGTCTGCCTCGGACTTCGCCCAGGAAAGAATCTGGCATTTGAAAAAGATAGCATTTTATTTTTTATCAAAAAAAAAATCCTTCTTAATAATAAAAGGCCCATTTCCAATTTTGCTTCAAGGAAGACTGGAGCTAAGTTTGAGATAAAATTATGGTGAGAAGTTGGGATGTGGGGTGGCATGTTTCGGGGGCCCCATGCGATCTGGATGCAAAGTCTATCTTGCACAGACACATGTGGGAAAGGCGGGGTGTGTGGGGCAGCAGCAGGGGAGAATGGAAACCCCTGTCAGGGGACTCGGGTAATAAATAGCACAAGATCCGATTCTGCCACGCCGCCCGCCGTGGCTGAAGGCATCTCAGATGGAGCTGCCGATGAGCATTGTTCTGGGGCCTGTAATGTTTAAAACCATCCAGTGCCTCTCTGGAAAGCATCTGTCACAACTGTGTCAGGCCCCAGGAGCCTGGGGATGCTGAGTGGGGATAGTCCAAGGCCAGATCACGCAACTCAGTTTTATTTATTATCATGTCCTCAATTAGTCGCAGAGCTGCCTTTAAAGAGCCCACTGCCCCCAGTTTCACTGCCTCCCTTTGAAGCACTGTGTTCCTTTCATCCACAGGGCCTCTGAATCCAGGCCTGGCCAAGGTGGGACTGCCACTGCCTGGGGGGAGGTGCTTGGACGAGCCGGACTGCCGCACAGCCCTGAGGATTTCGGGGTAGATCTGGCACCTGCCAGATTTAAGGGGTAGCAAAGCGGGGTCTGAGCGAGCTGGCAAGGCTTATCCAGGTCCCAAAGGGCAGCTGTACAGTATCCATGGACATGCCCCGCATCTGTGCCAGCCTTGTGGAAGCCTGCGGGATTAGCAGGGATGCTATTGGTCTAAAGCAATGTTTCCCGAGCAACAGACACATTGCACCGGCAGTCCATTGGACACCTTTGGAGGTCTCTACACTTGGCCTTCATCTCTTTAGAGCATCTGGGAGAATTCCCTCCTTCCCTGCTCTCGTTCAACCCCTCTGATGGCGGTCAAGGAGAAAACCCCAGTCTGCTGCTGGCATGCCTTTAACAACTCCCCAGTGCCTGTCCAGCTTCCTTTATAACAGAGAGAATGCAGATCTTAGGCTGATGTCATTGGTTGTTTAATAGTGTTTACTTTTATCGTATTTCTTTCTACTGTGAGTTGCTATTCATGATAGCTGGCAGTGTTCATTTTCCATTTTCAGAAATGTTATGAATTTAAATAAAAAGTGCGTTGGTTTAGAGGAAATGAATAGGCAAATAGCTGTTTAGGTAGATATGGAGAAAAAAAACTTTAAGAGTTAGCTTACAAATCACTGAAGATTGGGTAAGAATGTTCTTTTTTTTTTTTAAAGATTTTATTTATTTATTTGAGACAGAGAGAATGAGAGACAGAGAGCATGAGAGAGAGCACATGAGAGGGGGGAGGGTCAGAGGGAGAAGCAGACTCCCTGCCGAGCAGGGAGCCCGATGCGGGACTCGATGCGGGACTCGATCCCGGGACTCCAGGATCATGACCTGAGCCGAAGGCAGTCGCTTAACCAACTGAGCCACCCAGGCGCCCCGGGTAAGAATGTTCTATAAGAAACCTACTGGACTGTAAGATTCTCAAGGGCATCAAAATTGTGGTTGTGGTACTTTTTGCAAGACACACACACAGAATCTAATAAGAATGTTTCACCCTCAGGGAGAGAGATAAATTATAGCTGACTGGCTACTGATAATAGTCAATTAGATAGTCTTTAATATTTCAAAATTTTCTTTGGAAGAATCTTAAAAAATCACTTTCAGAAGTAGATGATAAACACCTTTTTTTTTCAATTACTTGTTTATTTCAGAGAGTCTTTCACTCGCCACTAGCATTTCTCAGTTCTTTTTTATTATTATTATGTTATGTTAATCACCATACATTACCTCATTAATTTTTGATGCAGTGTTCCATGATTCACTATTTGCGCATAACACCCAGTGCTCCATGCAGAACATGCCCTCCTTAATACCCATCACCAGGCTAACCCATCCTCCCACCCCCCTCCCCTCTAGAACCCCCAGTTTGTTTTTCAGACTCCATAGTCTCTCATGGTTCATCTCCCCCTCCAATTCCCCCCCTTCATTCTTCCCCTCCTGCTATCTTCTTCTTTTTTTTTAACATATAATGTATTATTTGTTTCAGAGGCACAGATCTATGATTCAAGATAAACATCTTCTAACTGTATAATCTTATATCTTTTATCCCGTGTTCTTAACTAGCATAATCACCTACCGAACTCCTCAGACTTGCTTCTGTTTTTAAAAATCAAATCTGGCCTCTAAGACTAATACTTATCTCTTCTGGGGAAAGAAACTGAAGGTACATGAGCCAAAAGCCATTAAGCCCTGAACAGAAGAGAAAAATAGTGCTCCTGAATTGGTCTTCTCAATCTCATTCTCGGACTTGCAGCACTCACAACGCATCACTTACAAATGTAAAGGTAGTGATGCTCAGTACACCTAGGCTGCCTGGAACCCCGAAGAATGGTCCCTCCTTTCTTGGACTCCATATTTTCTATTTTCTAGACAGCTGGGCATTCATCCAACCTTTATTTTTACATAAGCCATGTTGCATGAAAATCTTTTTAGAATAACTATAACAAGGTCATACAGTGAGTACATTATAATGCCTCAATTTAAACCCAGATCTGTTGGACAATCTCTGTCCTACTGAGATGTGCTACCTCCACCACAGAATTCAAGACCACTGAGTCTAAGTTTTATAATTTATACCTCTCCTTCCTCACTGTCAGGTTCAACTGTCATTTCTCTTTTGACTATGAAAGACTCCTTCTGTTTTCTTGCTTATGTCATGTTTCTCAACAGTGTCACACATAAGGATATCACCAGGTGCTTGAACTCTGGATTGGGTGGGGTCTAATTTCTAGAGAGTGGGCTCTCAGTAGGGAGTGGAAAATCCAATAATCACTATCATGGTGATTTCATGTGGCCAAACTCAGAATACAACCTGTAGAATTACAAAGAACTTTGGAGATAAAAGACACTGGGGCTTGGTAGAAGAATTTTTGCTCTACATCCTCAGGGATTAACTACATATTCATTATTATAAATAACTACATATCTTATATAGTTAATATATTATATGTATATATGAAATTAACTACATAATTACATTGTATGTTTCCTCTAGCAGACTAGAAACTGAAATGAGGAACAATCTTTTGAAACAGAAGTGACCTGTATTTGGAACCAGCAGTGTCCAGTTTCACTGAATAGAGGAGAAGGTCACTGAATGTCAGAGCTGAAATGAGAACACCTCAGAGATGATTCTTATGCCATCATTTTCATCAAGAGAGGAGGACAGCAAGACTTAAAGAAGTGACTTGCCCATAGCTTTATGGGTCCCTGTGCAATTGCCATCAATTAAAGTGTGGCATATTAAACACGCATCAAGCATAAACAAGAAAATTTAGCCTTCAAGGCAAATAGCCATGTGTTAATTCATCTGTTATGGAGCCGATGGAGTTGATGGGTGGGGGGACATGCCAATACATTATCCAAACATATGCCTGAGCTCTTGTCTCTCTTATCCTCTATAAAAGGCCTCTGGGTCCAGAGTGAATGGACTAAGTGGTAGAGCAGATGTCCAGGGATGAATAAATCTCATGCCTGCAAGCTGTGTACAATTCCATCCAGAGCAGAATAACAACACACTGGAAGGACAGGTGTCTTCCCCAGATGTCTGAAGGAGAATGGAGACTTTCCTTTGTAGCAGGAGTGGATGGGCTGGTCATGTAGCTTCAAAGGAGCCAGATGGGGCTTTGGTACATCTTTTCTTGGTCTGTATATTTTCTGGATGTTTATCCATAACAAATGTGGTCTCTCTCTGAGATGGTAAGCTCCTAGAGAACGGTGGCCATGTGTTTCACCAGCTTCGCTCGACTATCACTGAATGACTTTCGATCAGAAAGCTGGGAACAGGGCATACTTTCAGAGGGCGGAGTTTCTCAAAAGTGATCACTTCCTGACTGATGACTAGAGGCTGGCTTAAGCAGGGAGGTGCAACAGGATGGCCAGACACGACATTCTTACCCATCCTCCTCCTATAAAGGCACATACTCAAGGGCTACCCGCGACTGTCTCGGAGTGAGGGCAGAAAAACACCCAAAGCATTGAGCCTAAGGAATGGTACGTGAGCACCAAAAAGCAATAGAAACGCAAGATGGAGGAGGGGGGTTACATTTTTCTTTGACCTGAAGGTAGATTTTCATTATTGAGTTTTCATTTCTTTTAGATCCAGTGCCTATGAGTCACCTATCTCCATGCAACACCTCACTGAAAGAGGTCCTTCTATGAAATTTGTATCAAACCATGTGGGAGGGGATAGAAGATCCACGTGAAGATCCAGTCTGAGCTTTACCAGCTCTGCATCCTTCCCCTCCTAAGATCACATATCCCACAGCTTCTTAGAGATTGCTCTAAATTATTACACAGTATTTCAAACTTTCGTATTCATTTATATCCACCATAATGAGAGTCCTTTTTTACTAACTCAGTGGGAGGACAGTGAGCATTAAACATACTTTACACTTTGAGGTCCGAGCTACCTGACTCCTAGTTCTGCCACTTGGTCCTTAGGTTACTGAAGCAAGTGCTTATTAATCTTTCTAAGCTTCAAACCTCCCAAATCAGATCGGCAAACAAGGCTTGTGGGAGGGGCCCTGCCTCATGGGGAAAATTATTGTCAAGTGGACAGAGGAGTAAATAACCAGGCTCTCTGAGAAGAGGAGGCCGGGAACACCCTGCTGGAAGTCTGGCCCTGCTGGGCTAGGCCCTGGTGGCAAGCGGAGAGGGAAGAGGAGTTCATTACATACGGGACTCCAATCTCAAAGATGTTGTTCTGGATCAGCTGCTTCCCCAACATGATGATGCTGAGCTGAATGCAGAGCTCCATGAGGCAGCCCCCTGGAGCACACTGCCCGGAAAAGAAGATAACGGAGGATGTGGTTAGACCAAGCGGAGCTCAGAGAAGCAAGGGCAAGAAGTGAGGCATGCTGCAAGGGGGGACGGCGGGGGCCAGGGGTGCACGGGGACACCACCAGCCGGACCGTACTTGCCTCTTCCATGCGGTAACCGTCGAACACGTAAACATAGCTTCCAGGTCTGCCCACGAACCTGAAATCCAGAAGCGTGGGAGAGTTAGGGAAGGGGAAGGCAGGGCTGCTAGAAGGCCTGCCTTCTGAGTGGAAGAGGCACCGCCCAACAGCCTCCTGGAAAGAACTGGCCAGGGCAGGGGCCAACTCACCCAGGGGTGGGCGTGGACACTGCGTTATTGGCTAGCTGTCACCTGACCATCGAGGGTTCACCTCTTAACCCGAGTTCCAGGGGACAGGGGCTGAGGCTGGGGCTGGTGTGCGCCTGGGAAGGTCCTGTGTATGGGCACCTGTGACAATTTCTGAGCCTCAGTGCCACGAGGTTTGGATTATCCCTAAATGTACTATCTGTGCACCCTCCTCCCTCAACCAATGTTAAGAATTGAGTTCTGATTGAGGCTCCTCGGTGGGAGATTCTGATTTCCCAGGAAATGGTCCTACCCATCTATTTAAGGCTCAGCTCAAATCTTTCCTTCTCTGTGAAGTCTTCTGTCTCGGTTCACAATTAAGTATTTCCCGGGCACTTTCTTTATACTTCTATGATAGCAACTCATTGCATGTGCTGTAGATAAGACCATCTCTTTCAATAGACCACAGATTTATCTAAGGGTCGGGACCCTATTTTTTGGCCTGAAATATCTATGTAGGAAATTTGCTATTGATATTAAATCTAGAGTGAAAGCACCAGTGGAGTATATACCCATTAATATGGATAGTCTCTCTGCTACTATAATTTTATACGAGTCAAAGGCAGAGATCCCAGGAAGGGGGTTGTGGTTTGTGTCACAAACCTATTTATAAGAAACTATCAAATATGCACAATAATAGCTCTTGCTATGGAGGCCTGCTTGATGAGGTTTTAGTGCTAAGGAAGCTTTTCTGACAAAGTTAATGCCTACTAGGAAATCTCCTTATAGGTAGCCAACTGATCTAATTGTCAGAAGTGATTTTACAGCTAGACACATTGCATAATAAAGAATCTGACTGGCCTTTGTTGCTGGTTCTTGGAGAAGCCTCTAAATCCTTAGAACTTCCCCCTAGGATTCTCTTTGTTATTGATAGTTGGGATCTTGAGACTATACCTAAATTTATGCTAATGAGATCACTCAGGATGGGGGAGGCCATGCCACAGAAACCAACTGTGTGATTAGAGGGTTGGGCCTTTCATCCAGGTAGTAGCAGCCTGACCTCAGGGGATGGAAGGGGGGCGGAGGCTGAGCTCAGTCACATGGTGAATGCTTCAACCAATCACACCTACGTACTGCAAACTTACAAATTCTGGGCACGGAGGCTTGGATGAGCTTCCTGGTTGGTGGGACACATCAACGTGCCAGGAAACTAATGCATCCTGAGGACCTGGAAGCTTCTGTTTAGGACCCTCCTAAACCTCACCCTATGTGCCTCTCCCACTTGCTGGTTTGCATTTGTACCCCCTTTCTACAGTAAAACTGTAATTTTAAGTACAGGACATTCCTGAGTTCTATGAGTCATTCTAGAGAATTAGCAAACCTGAGCAGTTTGTGGCTGTAGCCAGTTGGTCTGAATCATGAGTGGCATAGGAACTCCAGAGCCTGCAGCTAGTGTTTGGAGGGAGGGCAATCTTGTGGAAGACTGTGCCCTTAATCTGCGAAGTCTGTGCTAGCTCGGGGTAGCTGGTGTCAGAATTGCATTGTAAGACCTATGAGCCATTCACGAAACCTGAAATTCCTTCTTATCTCATGCTCAAAGTTGGGAGGTCAAGATTATTCTAAGACTCACCCTCTGGGGCCCAGGGTCAAATCCCTATAGTTTCTCTGGTTATCAGAATCCAAAGATTCTAATCCAAAATGACATAATGCTTATGCCACCGCTTCACAAACAGTACAGTGGGGATGGAGATGGGGAATGGGACTGAGAGTGTGAACTGACAGTGGGGACAAGTTGACTCTGGCGGGGACCCAGTCTTAGGGACAAGTTGCACTTCCATGTGTGAAACCATTATACTCACCTCCCCTTGAAAAAGGCCACATAGAAGATGGGTGAGTAGGCATTGACAAACTTTAGCAAGAAAGCTTTGAGTATCAGGCGTTCTTCAAAAGTCTGTTCTGTTTTGGGAACCTCTGAAAGAAAAGAGCAAAGCTGGTAAGACTGAGAGACAGATTTTCACCTCTTCAGAGTTTTAATCCTGACTACATGAACCATTGTCTCTCGGCTCTCATTCCTTCAGAGTAGAAACCAAGCGATCTGTCTCTGGCACATTAGAACTGAATTCATCCGGGAGGTCCCAAATGGATTGCCAGGTACTATGAAGCCACAGAAGGCAAAGGGTACACAGAATCATCACCTTTCTCCCTCCACTTCCCTCCTCTTATCCACTCCAGCAGCTGTACTCCTGTAAGGGGGATGTGAGCAAACAGAACTTCCTCTAACCACCCTCACCTCATCAAGGGGAACGCAGTTTTTAACTGTGTGATTGCCACTTCCATAAGATTTTATTTGAACCAAAGTCCCTGATGAAAAAGACTTGTTAACCAATGAACTACAGTCAACAGGCAGCAAAGACTTGTCTTGGGTACCATGACATTTTTCCTCTTTCTCGCCTCCTTCATTTCCAGCAGGAAAGCCTGCATCTGTATGCTCTTTGGATAGACTGGGACACCTTATACTCACTCGCTCAAATGATGGAGAATCATCAAATAAGTGAAACGAACATAAGCCTAATGTCTCAAACTCGGGGGTCACAGCCCCAGCGAGTCCTGTGAGGTTCAAGGAGAGGAGTCAGCTCATAATTCCCCCAAGGACCCTAAGAAACACTGGCAGAAACCTCACTGATGCCTTCAGAAGACTCGAGACCCATGGGATGTTCTGGTGGACAACAGGGCACAGTGTTTGCTGGGGATTCACAGATTGTGACAAATGGCTTGGCAAAGATAGGAGGTTATAGGGCCACACTTCAGGGGCAGAAAGAAAGCACTAGCCTGTATCATGCGCACTGATAAATATCACCCGAAAGTGTGCTGAGCACAGGGCCAAAGTATCAGGACCATGCCAGCCAGGAGGTTCTGTGTCCAGATGAGGTTGATGCATGGACCCATCTGACTTGTCTGCCCACCTGACTCACACACAGCTTTAGTAGCAATCTTTGGAAAAGTGGATGCAAAATTCTGTTCCCTCTCCTGATATTCCCTTCCTTGTCCCATCCCCTATGTACAAATCCTTCACATCCTTTAGCAATCAGATCAAATGTTGCCTGTAATCTCCTTCCCAAAGACTTCCCCGATGACTTCAGATGGTAGTAATCTCTTTTTCTTCTATAGTATTTTATATTTCTCCTTATTAATTACCTACTTCCATGCCCTCTGAAAATCACAATAGGAGGTTTCATTGGTCTTCTGTCTTAGTTGGGGTTACCTGCTACGTCAAGAAGTAAGTAGTTTATTTTGGAAGTGCTCCCAGGAAGCTTTGGTGAGGGAGTGGGGTAGTGAGACAGAGAGGAGAGGGAAGGCAGCACGCATGTGTTCTGAACAATTGAAGGCCACAGGCGACTGGGGCTCAGTCCCCCTGGGGACCTTCTAAGAGACTCTGAAACACCCCTCATAATTACTACACTGAGGAGTGAGCAAGTGGAGTCCCTCATTGGGTGAAGGGTACCGCTGGACTTGACTCCCCAGCACTTCCGCCTTGTCGTACACATGGGCTGAGCATGCTCACAACCGGAAAACGCCTGCAGGCAGGGAGCGGCGGGGACCTCCAGGGACGCCAAAGGGATATGTGTGCTGTACCGTAGTGTCTGCTCCAAGCTGCTCCACGCGTGGCATTACACCCAGGCGCGCACACCTGCTAACTCGTTTCCTCCTTACCTACCTATGTGAGGGCGTAGCGCATCTCACTTTTACAAAGAAAGGCAGCTGAGGTCCAGAGGGGTGACAGCCTTGCTCTAGATCATACAGGCCATAAGTTCGGGTTACAAAAGAGTTAAGGTCTGAACCCAGATCCACCTGTCTCCAAAGATGATGTTTACTCCACCACACTGTGAAATCAGGACCTTGGACTGCTGTCTCCATCAGACCTCCTCTTTCACCTCCCCACCCTCCACCCCCAGCCCACATGATATGTACCTAAGAAATATTTGTGAGCGGTCAGGTCACAGGCATTGAGCACCAGCTGCATGTTGCCAGGGTGAACGGCGACTCCACACTTCCTGCAAGGAGCTTCATTTACCAAGGTCTCTGGGAGAGACTTTTGCAAACTGCCAGTCTTTTCAAGATTTAATCTGTGAGTGGCAAAGAATCCTACCCCCTCTCGTCATGACCAAAGGGGATCTTAGAGAGAAAAATGCTGTATTTCCATGACCTGTTTTCCCACACAGCACAGTGAGCCCCTCATTCATTTGCAATCTTAGAACATAGTCCTGAGTATAAAGGATGATGCCCAATAGCATCAGCGGTGGTCCAAGCACGAGCAGAGACCCGAGGAGACTGTCGCAGGCAGACGTCAGCCCATGGGGACCCTTGGCCCTGGGAGTGGCCTTGAGAACCAGAAAGCTTAGAGATGCCATAGTGCTACTCTCACATTTGCAATCCTGGCCTCAACTTCTGCCTAAGGCCTGCGGAAATGAGGCCTACTCATCCTCTAGTCATGTCCTAGCCCCCATGAACCCTAAGAAACATGGTGTCACCCCTGGGCAGCCAGCAACACTGAAAACTGGTTCATTCTCTGAGAACCCCATCATCCTGAAGCCTACTTTAGTTTGCTTATGCTTTCTAACAGTCCTGGAGGCCCTGGCAGGCCATGCTGAACCTACAGAGCACCCAGTCATGCTATTCTCGGCTCAGCTGTATGTTGAGGGGAGTGACTACTTGCTTGTTTTGCTCCAGAGATGGCCGTAGGGACAGATTTTCACATCAGACACACCTGACTTCAAATGCAGAATGTAGGTAGAGGACTGAACTTATATAGAAAGGATACCGACATCTCCCTCACAGGTTGTTGAAGACAGGATAGGATGCTTATAAAGCCCTCAGCCAAGAGCTTGGCAAGTGCTGGACCTCAATAAATGATAGCTCCTGTTGTCCTAAACAGTGTCCTCTGATGCCATCACCTCCTCCAAGCTGGCAGCCCTGCTTTCTGCAGCACAGTTGGGCCACCTGTGGCCAGGTGTTTGTGCACATCTCTAACCCCTAAAGTTCTGGGCATTGTTTCCATGCTGATGAATGAGCGCTTTCTACCAATCAGAGGAAAGGATAGCTAGTAGGTGACCCTGCTGGCACATAGCTGGGAAGGTCTAATCAAAACAGCCCCTCTCCCCACCTCCACAGAACTCCCAGCCCATGCTTCCTGACGTCCTCTAAACATGGGAAATAAACATTGTCTGCTAGGGAACCTAGAGACATTTTCATAATTTTATAGGAGATGAAGCTGGAACAGTCTCCCATGATATCCCTCAGCTGGCAGACAGCTTTGTGGTTTTCTCCTTCCTGCCACGCGTAGAGGGCCACGGGCACAGTCCCATGAGCTAGAAGTCCAGCCAGTCCCACACCGCCTTGCCCAGCAAGCACTTGGATGATGGTCTGTACTCACCACTCACAGTGAACACTGAGACTTCTTTAGTTTATGGACATAAGCAAAGCCCCACAGATATTTCACCTGTAAGGGCTTTTCCCTCCCTGCTACAAAGTCTGCCCAACCAAAAGGCCAATGTGTCCCTGTTTGACTTATGCTTCTCAAGTCTTCCCTGGGCTCAAGATCCACATCCCCTTCTTCAGTCTGATTCCTATTTTCCTTAACAAAAGGAAATAATGCTGAGGCCCAGGAAATGCCTGCCACCCATTTCTAAGGTCGCTTTCCATTTTAAGATCTCCTAACTCCGAACCACCAAGTGGCCATTAACCCTGGCTCTCCCCAGCCTGCCACCCTGGCCCCGCCACGCACAGTGTGGATGGCGTTCCCACAATGAGCACAGTCAGGTCCGCCTTCTGCTGGGCCACGGCTGACACTAGATGTATCAGACTAAGCACATTTATTGAATGAATGAATGACATGACATGACATGACATGACATGACATGAAAATATCATTTAGAATAGTGAAAAAGTATTTATCATTTACTAAAAATTCCCTGTGGGTATGAAATCACAAGAAAGCAATAGCCGAAAGAGAGTGAAATCTCCCTCATTTCAATTTCATTTAATTAATTTAAATTTCCCTATCTTATCCATGAGATAAGAGATGGGGGTATTGGAGTTAGATGCAGGACCTAGAAGGGCTATAGCCCTTGCCATGGGAGGGGCAGAGAAGGACAGGAGGTGAGGCAGAGCCCCTGCCAAAGAAGAAAATGTGAGTGATGGGGGAGGGGTGGAGGCGCCCAGCAGAAATGTTCCTTAACTTCCCTGTCAAAAAAAGAAGGAAGGGGGGAGGAAGGGAGGGAGGGGGAGAGGGAAAGAAGAAGGAGGGAGGGAAGGAAGGAAGGAGGGAAGGGAAAGGAAAGGGGAAGGAAGGAGAGAGGGAGGGAGGAAAGGAGGAAGGGAGGGAGGAAGGGGGAGGGAGGGAGGGAAGGAAGGAAGGAAGGAAGGAAGGAAGGAAGGGAGGGAGGGAGGGAGGGAGGGAGGGAGGAAGGAAAATTTTTCAGTGGGATTTTGAGCCTTTGCCCAGTGTACCCAAGGCAGCCAATTCAACAGTAACAATCACTCCTTGTCTCTCATTTTAAAATATTTGGGGGATAAGAAAATTAAAACTTGTGTCACCCAAAAATGAGTAATCAGGTCTAAGGAGCTGAAAATTTGGTAAACTTGTCTTGTAAATGTGGCTAGAAGGGGATTAAGGACGAGGTACAAAGAGGCACGTGTCTTTGATTTTCTTTTATAATCTCCTTTGAACTCTTTGTGCTCAGATCTCCCAATCCCTGCAGGAATTTCCTCCAAGTTCTTGGGAAAGAGAATCCAATCCTTTTGGGATGCTTTGCTCCAACTGGAAATGAGTGGCTCCCTTCCTCTATGCTGATAAATCATGGGCGTAGTTATTATTTATTAGTTTTAGTTCTAAAAACAGCCTTTGTCTGTGCTCTTAGGGCCATGAGCCACCATAAATAATGGGCACTTCCAATAAACAATCCAAATCCACT